CTCACTCGCTCGTTCGGATTTTTGACGCAAACAACGAGCGAATAAAACCCCGTACGCCGCACTTACTAGTTTTCTGACGTAAACTACATATATATTTAGTACATATACCCCTTCGGGCGGCTGGTATGTCGGCTGATAATGTCCGCGGCTGAGAGATTGTCCGAAAAATGACTATTTGGCCGAGAAGCGAAGCTTCGAGGGCAAATATGAAATTTTGAGGACAATCTCTAAGCCAAGGACATTATCAGCCGACATACCAGCAAGCCAGAACGGGGTTTATTTATTTTATAACCCTCCCATTAATTTTCACATCGCAATTAAACTGCACGTAAACACAGTAAAAAAGCCAGTGATGATCTGATGGCGAATCCGCGTGATTGACGCAAGTAAGCAAAAAAAAAAAAAAAAAGTTTGGTTTCCTTCCATGTAAATAGGAAAATACGAGAACGGAAAAGTTGAAACTCTTGTGTTGACTATGTTTCTTTTTCACGGAAAAAATCGAAGGACAAATATCCACGCGGACGGAGGTTATTGCGTGATAACTGTCCTGCGATTTTGCACCACGTGACGTATAGTAACCAATAAAATCGCGCCAAAATCAATGGGTGGGTTATAAATATATATAATAACCGGTGATACTAAACAAAGGAGTGTAGCGATGAACTGAATAGTGTTAAAAGTAAACGTTACAAAAAACAGTGACAATTAAATTAATTATCAGAACTTGGGTGCCATAATAGCTTAGTGACATTTCTTTCTTTCCAGTCTCTGAGACCATTTTACGTAGCCACAGCCATGACGTACGGTACAAAAGCTAATATCGTTGTTCCATCTCCTGAAACGTACGTGAAGAGTGCACTTTACACACTGGGATTGTCACGACGAAACACAGGCTACTGGAGTCATGGTATTCAGGTATTTTATTTAAAATTTTTCGTGCTACTTCAGTATCACACGCTTTACTTATATTACGCTCCCCTGTCTCTTTTTATTTTGTAAGGAACCACAACAACTTGTGCTTGCCTCGCAAATTTTGAAATTGTGGAAACTGGGAAGTTTGGTTAATTACACTACATTTTGCCATTGAAAGAAAGGGAGGATGGAAGATTCGCTTGAGTGTAAAAAAAAAAGTACAAAACAAAACAAACAAACAAACAAACAAAAACCGAAAAAACAAAAAAACAAAACAAAACAAAACAATAGAAAGCAAAACAGCTGCGATATTAGTCATTATTTGAAACTGGGAAAAAATGAAATTTGATAAATTAAGCACTTTTTTGATGAGTCTGTTATGTTAGGCGTGCCAAAGTGTCCTCTTCATACTCTAATGATGACCTTTTGCTGATCGCAAAAGTTGATTTTCAATAGTTTTGGGCGCATTTGTTTGTCTGTTTGTTGTTTATCCGCATCCGTGACTCCCCTAGAGAGAGAGAACTTCACAACTCTTGTATATCACATAAAATAACAGATACAATGTGGCGTAGCCATCCTCGATCATGTATAGCCCAAGTTGCCCAACTGTACATTGATGATGATGTCATTTCAATTTCTCATTTGTTCATACGCATAATTGAAATTTCCCCTCATTTCTGTTTTTGTTTTTTGTTATTCTTTTTTACTTTTAGGGTTGGTTTGTTGGATTTTGCCCCGAATGGCTGTGGATGTGGACCGCTACTTTGCTCAACAATCAAATACGTCGAGTTGTTCTTAAAAATAAAAAACAGTAACGCTTTACAATTTTTATCTTTATTAATCCCATTTCATTTGTTGCAAAAAATTGGACGACTTTAATCCGCTACCTACAAGTATAATAAGAATCTCAAGCCAACCAAAAATTATAATGAGTTCTTCTCTGATCCATTAACTGTACATCTCTAATTTTACTTCGATCTTGTTTCCTTTGAAAATAAAAAGATCCCTCTATCCTTTGATACAGAAAACACTATAATTGTATACTGTGCCAGTTTTTATGGCGATCAAAGCTAAGACATCTGATGCAACTGAAAGAAAATTCTGGGTTGGTCAAACGTACTCTTCAGATTCAAGGTTATCTATAGACAGCGTAATGCACTACGTACGTTGTTTTCCGAGATAAAGAAAATAATGATAAGTATTACACTAAGTATTAATATATACTACACTGATGAATAGTGCTTTTAGCGCGCGGTGATTGGTTAGTTCGGAATAATTAACAAATACTCTACACCTCCAAGCAGCGGAAGAGACAAAATCGTACTTCAGGAGTTTCATTTCCGACCACTTTTCGATATATTGACAGGAATAAACTAACTTTTTTTTTTATTATTAATTTCTGAGTGGTTCATACTGAAACAATTATTCACCTCAGTGTCGCTGAAAGTGGTGGATATTTACATTCACTTCGGTGAATAGTTGTTCGTTCAACGAAATGTCTAAAGGCTTTCTGTGCACAAACTAAAAGCACTCTTCTCGTTTCAGACCTGACCCAGATGAGTGTTGTTACGTGGTTTTCATTTGGTACGTAAAGGTTACGTTTGCGAATTAACACCGGCCGAACTGTGTGGGTACTATCTACTTTATTGCTTAACGTTTCCAGGACCCTTACCTACATTCATTGCCTCTACCAAACTTTGAAAAACCCACTGTATCGTTCTCTGATGTATCTGATATAGTTGTAATTTTTTTCCACCCTAATATATCAGTCCGCCCATACGGACGTTGTCTTGGGAATTTGGAACTCTACATTCTTACCCGATTGTAACAGATTTTCTCAGTTCAAAGCCAGTAAAACCGTCCAGTTTACCTCGAAATACTGCCCGGCTAAGTTGAAAAATACTCCAGTATCGTCGATGAGAAATTTCCGAGTTCCACAACCTCTCAGTTTCAAATTAGGCTCAATGCAAAACCTTTCTTACGAAAACGAGTTTTTTTTTTTTTGTTTAATGGAATTTAAATGATCATTTCCCTATCAAAGGCTCCGAACATTATCTTGACTTCAAACAGAGGCATTGCTCTTGTCGGAAACGGCTTTTTTTTCAGACACTGGTACCTCGATGACTACTGACTTGAGTACAACAGCTCTGGACTGGGGAGAGCAATGTCTTGGTTTTCCCAAAAAATATTACCCTACATCAAATACCTGACCACTTTAATGCGGTATAGGCACCGCTTCTTTTCTAGTCTACTCAGGAATTATACTTTCGTCTTGACGTTTGACATTCTATCTTGTCAGTGGTTGGTCTGCGTCAGTGTCATCAGTAGGTCGATTCAGATAATTATATAATTCATCGTAGTTGACATCCTCCAAAGACTGCTCCATCTCGTCATAGCCATGGATTGGGGGCAAAATCTGCTTGAATTAAAACAGAAAATTTCAACAATCTCGCAATAAGAGTGTGATGAAGACAACGTATTAAATTTTTGACAGTGACCCGCTGTCAGCCGTTTCAATACATTATCTCTCTAACAGTGACTAGTCTCATTTGTTCTTCCATTTTCACCCCGGAATTAAACGTTAAGGTCGTCAGAATGATGCAAATGATCACCGGCTAAAGATCTAGGTTTCGCCAGTTAAGGTGATTCCTCAGGAAAAAAGGTCACAGTAACGAACACTTTTTTTTAAGTTTTCCACAAATGTTCCCTACCAATGTCTATTTCGAAAAAAAATACATGGTCATTGAAAAAGATAGCTCACCGTGCTTGTTTAAGAGATAAGGTGGGCCAATCGTACCCACATATGCCTGTACTAGTTCATGGTACATTTTGGAGTAGCTGGACGTAAGGAATAAAACTTGACAGGTAGAAAGTCTAGAGCGTAAGGAACAATTTGATATACAACTTGAGGAAAAAACACCCAATTTTAATTCACATCGACTCAAAACGTTCCTTAGGTCGTTGCTTCCAAGGTCATACTTCAAGTACATTCTCGAATAACAGGCTTCGTGCACGCGTTTAACTATATCTTTTTTTTTTTTTTTAATTTCTCCAATCCAAAAGGAATAACTTGTAATTATGCAACAGAAATATAGGTCACCGTGCTCTTTCAAGAGCTAAAGACCATTGTACCTCTTTACCCGGTCCTCCATTTATTGAAAAACAATGCCGTGTTCTCGAATTGCGCGCGCGCTTGTTTGTCTGACTACGTGTTTTCGTGCGCAGTACGTGATGCGCGGTGCAATACAGTGCAAACAAAATTCTCCTTCTTAGCACCACGGGAAATGGAGAATGTGCATACTGATGTTAGGGTTAGAGGGTTAAACAAAGAGTTAACGACGAGCAGCGGTACAGAAGTCTCGTTGTTTTTATAATGCAATATAAAACAGTTAACGGCCTCCCGGTTAGCTCAATGGATAGAGCACTGGACTGATGTGCGGGAGGTCGAGGGTTCGAGCGCCGGCCGGACCAACACTCAAGGTCTTAAAATAATTGAGAAGAATATGCTGCCTTTCTATAACATCAAGAAATAGTTTAGATATTCTAGTCTTCTCGGATAGGGACGAATAAATGTCCCGTCTCCTGCAGGGTTAGGGGTAGGAGACGTTAATTTCCCACGCACGAGATTACTGTGTGATGGATGTCCTCCCCTGGGGTGGTATAGGTGGGTTGTTGTGTTGCGTTTCATACTTGAGCCTCTGGCTCGGGCAATATGGGTAACCATGCCCCACGTAAAGACATTAAACTTTGATTACTATTACTAGTTAAGGTTGGATATGTACTGTGACTACAGTTTCGTTACACTACACGGTAACATTTCCACAAAGCCATAATGAGCGCGCGTAAACTTGATTGTCTAGTAATTTGAGCGTAATACCATTTGGAAAGCGATCACATACAAATAAGAGAGATACCCATAGAATAACTTGGGCTTTGACAAGGCTGGAAAGGAAGTTTCTATGTGTTTACCTGTAGTCAGGTGTGTGTATATATCGATTATTAACCAAGCGTGGGGTCAAGATGGTTGGATATTGGTCGAGTTGTTTTTTTGCATTTTTATGGAACGAGGTCCATGAAAATGCGAAAAAAGAACGAGGCTAATATCCAGCCATCTTGACCAAACAAGCTTGGTTAAAAAATGATTTATCATATCGCAAAAAGATTTCGCTTTAATAAGAATTTGGAATGACTTGTTTACTTCGGGAGCTGGAAAAGAAAGCCAACTGTGTTTGTAGCACAACAGAGAGTCGTTTCTGCTTTCTTTGTTTCGACTACCTTCTGCCACTTTTACGTTTCAATCGCCGAAACTGTCCAAGAATTACGAACGTAGTTCTAATTCTATTTTCTTCATGCGCGGGATCAATGCGAGCAATCCCGAGCGGGCAAAATGGGCCCATCTCACCCGCTCGGGTGGCCAATCAGAACACAGGATTCGCTTCATCTTGCCCACGGGCGCTGCAAGCGATATAATAAAGTCAAATAATGATAGTATTAAATGTATTCACCCGTTAGACATAACATTAGTACGCATATTCTCCATACTGTTCTCTATACATTTCCAAACTTGCTGACAAAGGGAATTTGTTCAACAATAAAGAGCTTCTTTAGTTGGTGATCATTTGTTTTTTCTTGTAACCGTAAGATGTGATTCAGGGGTGATATTGTACGGAGAAATTAGGTGCTAGTCACTCTCGAGGGTCATTTGGTTATGAAGGGCAGTAAATTTTGGGCTTAGTCGTCAAAAAAAATACAGCAACTTGCTATCGTTTAACACAAGTGTGGGACGCTACAACCACGCTTGAAATTTCCGGTTTTTAAATGTATTCACACACATGACATAGTTATGGTTTTCTTTGCCTCTTACCAGAAGAGCTCCCAAAGAAGGTCCTTCGTTTCCTTTATGACGAATTCTGTATAAAAGAGTAAAAGTAAAATCGATTTGAAAATTTAAAACTACAATGTCCTCCCTCAGTGATTTAAAGCAAGACTTTACAAATATACTATGCCTCCACCTGATAACAGGGCCAGCATGCCCTCCTTAAGTATATTC